GTAGTCTTATCTACTACAAAGGCTGAGCATATTGTAATAGGTAGTTGTTATTCATAAGCCCTTTGGATATCTTTGACTCTTTAAGATTGCATCATTACTTTTAAAAAAGTTCATCTTAGATGTGACAATAAGAGTGCTATTGATTTTAGTAATAACTCAATCTATCATTCCTGCACAAAGCACATATATGTTCAATATTATTTTGTTAGAGACCACATTGCTAATGAGAATATTCAAATTGAGTTTGTCCCCATTGATGAACAATTTCTAAATATTTCTATAAAACATTTGCCCGAAGACCGTTTCACTAAACTGATATAAGATTTAGGCATTTTATCTCTTGATACTAGCATGCTGACTTGACCTGTTCTGCATGTGTGTGTGTATGTTTTTTTTCTTAATTTTTCTTAATTTTTTCTTGATTTTTCTTTTTTCTTTTTTGCTTTCTGTATAGGATTTTTAGATTCTTTTACATAAAAAAAAGACAAAAGGAGCCAATATGTATGAATCCAGCTTCTCTTTTTTTTTCTTCTAGTTTTTCTTTAGAAAAAAAAACTTTTGGATATACATATGTATATGCTTATATAAGATAGAGTCAGATGATATTATCTTTTAGTATATAGGTTTGATTACATAAGATTGGTTTACATAGTGTTTTCATATCTATATACATATTATATGAGCACATAAATGATAAAAATATGATTGCTTAACACACTATTTCCTGAGATTTTTTTTCATACCATTTCTTATACACCTAGTTTTATACTTATCATGTTTAGTGTTGTAAAATAGTGGTAAATAGTTTATATATTGTTCATAAAGTATTTTTTGGATATATTCAAAGTTTGAGCTTACTTTTTATACTTGAATTCAGCATCAAATTTCTTTATATGTTCAAAGTACATATGTGTTATCAAATGCCAAGCTAAAAGAATGTATTTATGAAAAGATGATCGAAGACCCGCACTCTATAAATCCATGATAAAATTGAGTGTATTTGTTAAAATATGGTCAAAGACCCATACTCATGGATGTATTTGTTCATATCTCAAAGAGTATCCATCTTACACTAAGTATTTTTACTATTTAGAGATGATGTACATTGTCTACCAAACACTATCATTCTTCCTCTTAAAAATCCTATATAGTTGAGGTGATAGGGTAAAATTTTGGTCCTTAGTTATAACGTTGAGATAATTCAAGTTGTGTTATAGCTCAAAACTATATATGATATATCCAAATTTGTTTTATTAACAAATATAATTCTTTTTATTATTTGTTTCATAAACCATCCTATGATATTTCATCATTTTGTGTGTGGTTTTTAATATGATTTTTTGTACATGTTTCATGTGTTTTGAGGTTATATTTGAATCAATTTTTCTATTTTTCTATAATCCCCTTTTGAACCGGTGTGTATTTCTCTTTCTTACACATTAGGATAATTTTTATCTAGATTTTTCAAGTATAGAGTGTACCTATTGGTGTGTTTTCATCTTTTACCAATAACAAAAGGAAAGAACAGTGAAAATTTAAAATTGCATGAGTGACTTTGTTCATCATTAAGAGTTTTCAAAATGGTTTCATGTTTTATATTTTTTTAAAATTTTAAAATACACGATGCATAATTTTAGGGGGAGTTTTTGCAATAACTATACATGTTTACACTGTCATGAATGTATGAATGTGGGGGAGCTTTGCATATCTTTTTCCTTTGCATTAAAAGTGTTAATATCTTTATTTGTTGAATATATATCTCAAAATGCATGTATTTCTATAGTTAAAATCGAGTTTAGTTATTATCAAAATGGAAAGATTATTAAAACGTAGTTGATACAATATCTTTTGATTGAGTAATAACAAACTCTCATTTATTACTGATGATTATTTGAGATGATATATTTCAAGTATAAATAGGTACATAAAAGATACGAGGCAAAATGATGCAAAAATCAACATTGTTGTTGATTTCAATGATAACACCGTCGATGGTCATGAGTCAATCGATGGATTCCAGTGTACAATTGGAGAAAAATAAAAACAGGAATTAGAACCATCAATGATTTGTAGAGAACCATCGCTGTTAAGCTATACTATCGATGGACTACAGTGCGCATTCGATGATTTCCAAAAGCTAGATTTTAGCTTATCGATGGATTACAGGTAACCATAGATAGTGTATAGGGTACCATCGATGGTCATGTTTTACTATCAATGGTGATGACATATTTTTGCAGATTTGATATTTTAATCTTAACCGTTCATCGACCCCTTCCATGTCCAACTTCTTCTATGATTTCTATTTCTCTTTCCTTTATTATCAAATGCTATATAAAATAGGAAGAGATCATATTTTGGAGAGGCTCTTGCATTGAGAAAAAGAGAGAGATTTTATTCTAGAGTTTGTGTGAAGTTGATTTGTGATTCAATCGTCGGAGCTTCATCAAAAACTCTTTCTCATCATGTTCAATATCTTAGGATCATTTTAGCGAGAAAATTTGCCCTTAGATTCAACATCATCCTCGCTTCTTTATCGAGCTTCACTTTAATTCTTTTGAAGAAAGGTTTGCTTAAAAAGGGCTGTATGATTTATTGATTTGTGCTTAAATTATTTTTAGTTGCTTTTTTTATCTTATTTTTATGGTGTTCTCAAGCTGGTGGTAATTGAGGGTTAGGACTAGCTAGGACTTGGTGTTATTCATCTGTGAAGAGTTAGGTTAGACGACTGCTTTCGGGTTGATTTCAGGATGCAGGTTCTTTGTACGCCTACTGAATCAGGTTATAATTTAGGTTAACTATGATTATAGTGAGGAAGCATCTTTGTGAGAAGGAAGAGTGGATGTAAGATTTCTATTCAATCAACTATAAAATCTCATGTGTCCTCTGGTTTTTTTTCTTGGTTTTTCACTTTTATTTTGATATAATTTCTGCTACAAATTCTTTGTTTTAGTGAAAACGTGTTGAAAACCTGTTCACTTCCCCTCTAGACTTGCATCTCGGTTCCAACATTCTTCGATTTTGTAAAGTTTCTTTTTTAAAATATATCAAAATGTAGTTGGTTTTTCTATAACTACAAACTACAAATTATAATCATTTTGAAACTTAACAAATTGACAATATACTATAAATTTGAACCTTCCTCTAAATCCTGCAATGAATGATGGGATTTTTTTTTTTTTTTTTTTGGGGGGGGGGGGGGGGGGGGCGGGGGGGGGGGGCGGGGCGGGAGGGGGGGGGGGGGGGGGATGTGTTGCGACCTAGGGTCAGTTGAACCTTCCTCTAAATCCTCCTAAATTGATGGGATTTATTACAAATTTCTCTACACTTCTACCAATCGCAGTTTTTGTTCAGCACGCAACAAACATAAAACGACACACAATACAGATGACAGACACATTAATTAACCACACAACATACATGAGGCAGAACATCCAGCGCAAGGTCCTCAATGAGCACAGTGTCCACGCATCAAGTGCTTACAACACTGAAATCATAATTCCAAACAAACAACTTCACTTCCTATATATAGCCCTCATATACATTCAGTTGCATAGCTAAGCATTTGCTAGACATAAATTGGCAATGGCAATCTCAAAGACTCCCCCATTTCTCTTCTTACTCGCAGCCTTCATCATTGCGGCCTCAACCTCAACAAACGATGCACGAGTGATTCTTGCAGGAGAACCTGCACCGCGCTTTAAAGTAGCCGAACCTCCGATTGACCCACCTATCGGTGCGCCGATTTACACGCCTATTGGTGCACCAGAGCCATACGTGCCGTGTCCACACAAATCCTTTGAGATGTGCGAGCAAGAATGTGAGAATTCTGTGAGCGAATGCGTCGTGGATAGCTGCCTCCATATTCCTTCTGGCGATGACCAGGCATTTTGTATAAGTGAATGCACGCAAGAGCTCTCCAGTTGCAAGTATGGCTGTCAGCAAGCTGATGAAGGTGATGTCCCAGGGCACAAATACTAGAATAAAATACTGCAGGCGAAGAATAAAATGCCGCAGATGTAATGTCAGTTTGTAGCCAAAAAGACTTCAGCTCTAAAATAAGGGGATTTTATAATGTTATCGTTATTAATTAATTGTGTCGATTAAATATATTAATGGTTGAAATTTTTTTATGATCAATGTCCAAGAAATTTCATTGCATATATAAGATGAGTGCCGAGCTTATTTTCTGACGTTTCCCTCTAATGCTTTAGTTAGTATTTTGAAGACAAAAAATAAACCAAAGGGATTCTAGAATTTTGTACTTGCACACCTTTTACAATTTCTCTGATTTGAGTACTTGTCTTTCATATTCTGGTTCCTTCGTCGTGTTCTGCTTACGTGTTGTATTGTTAGCGAAGCATGTCCAACCCTATCTGATCAGATTGCGATCTTAAAGATGGTTATTAATTTGCAATCTGTAGTTCATGTTTTCAAATGCAGAAAAGAGAACCCCCTGAAATATAAAAGGGCTATTATTATGAAACCCCTCAAGTTTGCTCGTTTATTATAAAACTTCCTATAGGCTGCGTTTGGGAACTAAGATTTGGATTTAGAAGCTTGATTTAAAATCAAGGGATTTCAAATCTAGGATTTGAAATCCATGATTTGATAAAATCATTTGTTTGGATGTCATTACTAAATGCTAGGATTTGAAATAAAAGATTTAAAATCTAATGTTTGGATGTATTTTATTATTCATGAATTTGGATTTGAAGTGATTCAAAATCAAAATGTGATCTCTTCAGTAGCAATTATAAATACACATGCAAACATCTTATCTTTCATGAACCAATATAAGAGAATACAAAAATAATAATGATGTCAAAATATTCATTATTATGACATTTTTTCATGGTTTCATCCAAAATATTAGATCGACCTTCGATCTCCAAAGAACAAAAATATTACTCCAATAACTAGTCATGATAAAAAGGCTGAAGACACAAAAGAGTTTTGCAAAAGATCCTCATAAGAAACTCTAGGCTACACAATAAGCCTTCATTTAAAATACAACATGCTATAGATAGCTGATAATCATGATTTGCTACAACAAGTCAAATTACCACAACATAAACTATTAAAAGAAACCATATCTAGAATCCTCTATTTATCCTTCAAGTCTTCTCCTCCTTTCTCTCCAATGTGTCCAACTTCATATCTCGAAGAATTTATTGAGTCCTACATTACACAATTTAGCATCAATTAGTCCATGACACAAAAAATCAAACATTAAAGTTGATCATGAAGACCATCAACCTTTAAAAAAAGAAAAAGAAAACAAGTACAGGATTGCATACTTTCTGTATTCTGATGGAGGCACTAGTTTTCACAACAAGGAGACCATGACAATTGTTGATGTTAGATTATCAAGGACAGAACTTAGGAAGAAGGTGACAAAATCAACCTGAGAAATTAAATATATGCACCTGTTAGAACATCATGTGGCAGAAAGTTGTAAGTCAATTAAATAAAAATGATCTACGCGGTGCATGAATATTATTTATGTTTTCATCTTACTCAAAAGCATAAATTAGTGAAGATTTATTGTGTTTTGTGGAAATGAATGATGTTGTTTACTGCTGGGGGTAAGCCTATATTTTCAATACTATATTCCCAACATATCATTATCACCACCATTGCTTATCAAAGGGGTTTTAGCAACCAGGTTCAAAGGTCTATGGAAGAATTAACAAAGTTGACATCAATCGTCTACATCAACACTGAATTGGTGGCCTAGGATCTTGATTTGGATATTGATTTCTCTGATTAAGAATAAACTGGAAACAGGGATATTTATATTCGCCACTGATCAAGACACAAATATGCTATGACGGTCCATAATAGTAATCTGTTTGCTTGCTAAAATATGATACTGAACTCAAAAAAGGAAATACTAAACAGAAGGATAGCTAATAATCTATCATCATTTCCTTTAAATTGCAAACAGTTTATCTTTCTAATGAGCTATCTGTAATTGTGGTGTTGACAAATGTACACTATAAATTTATGAAATCTTTGACCCAATCATGCAACAAAGCACCTACATTTAATGATTTATACTTTACACAAACATAGATCCCATGTGATGCATGCGGGTGTCTGTTCGTTAACACTAGTTTTGTTGCGTGAACTTAAGGGTTCATATTTTAGGTCCACTGTACCACTCTCTCCCCACTTTGAGAACTAATCCTGGAATGAGAGTAATGAACAGATTGAGCATAGATAATGAATTTCAGAAAACTTGAGCAAGAATGTCAAAAAGGACAGTCACATAAAAAGGTTATCAGTGCTACAAAGATGTCCATATAAATGTTTACATAAAAGCATAACTAATTTGATTTGTGACACCTTGAAATCAGAACATACAGTAAGTTCTTCTAGTACAAGGTGATGTGTCTTGAACTTGTGAACTTCTCTTTAAACGCTTACTAACTATCCTTGTGTTCCTCTTTGTGTTTGTGTAGTGCCATAGCACTAAAGAAAAACAAATAGGGACACAGGAACATGAGGAGAGTTAATAAGCATTTATCAATGTTCCTCATCTTCCTCATTTATACAATAACCTTCTTTAACCGAAATATTGCAAATATCAGTGCTTGTAAAACACTTGGTCGTGGTTGGCATGTCTGGCTGTGGATGAGAAGATTTTTCTTTTATTTTTTCAGGCAGTAAAGTAATTGGTTTTAGTAGTGTGTATTTGTAACCATCAACAAGAAATGCTTCTCCTCCAGCTTTGGTTTTTATCAGAGGAAGAACATTGAATATAAAAACAAGTCATGCTTCCACCTCTACTTAGTCTCGCAGTCATTTGGCATATGTCATAACCTCCCTAGAGCTTCAAATTACAATCAATCCAAAATTCTGTTTCACTAAAAACGAAGAGTGAACAGAAACTAAGAGAAATGAAACAAGAAAAATGTTGGGAAAATGAGAAGATAACCAATAAGCCAAAATCTTATAGAATTATTAAAAACAGACCGCACATATCATTAAATTTTCATACTTTGAATCCAAATATCAATTATTTATTAGCACCTTCGTATCTTAAGTAATAACAAAACATACAAGACCTTCAAATAATTGAACAAACATACTGCACAGAACTTTTTGTTTGACAGTGCTAGATCCAATAGTTCCTAAATCACAGTTTGATAAGGGATTCCAAGAATTATGATCAGCTAGACTGCAACCTAGATTTGGTACACCGTAACAAGTTGCACACAAAAGAAATAGAAGAAAAAGTTTAGAAACCAAAGTAATATCTTTCAAACATTCTATCTTACTTGTGTTCTCAAATTGACCATTCACATCAATTAAACTGATGATTTGGAAGTGGATGAAAAGAAAATGCAAGAATTAAACAAACAATTAATGGTAGTACATAGTGAAATTACTTCTTAAGAAGTATTCACAATTGAAATATAAATTAGGAGGATTCATTTTATATTCTCAAATCATATGAATTTGTTGATTGTCTGTAATGATGGCATCTAGCTCATGTGTCATATCAACCCAAACAAATGGCTGTTCACATTCTTCTGCAATTAGACTAACATATGACTAGAGTCACATTCAAATATTAAGGAGAACCATAAGAAAATGTAAGTTGACAATTCATTCAAAGCAAGAGAACATCATCAGGAAATAGTAAACATGTAATGGAAATTAATATGAGTACCTCAGATAAAGAATAATATATCAGATATATATTCTTCTCCTGTGAGACATTGGAAGTATGTGCAAAAGTATAAATTCAAACCCTAAGTAACATAATCCAGAAAAGTTGACAAAGTAGATCTTTAATTCTTCGCTGATCGTAGTCTCCTCCCACAATGTCTCAAATCCTCTCTTCATGCCACCCACCAAATCAAACTTTAGCCGCGAAGATCATGGACCTAAACCCTAGGTCAGATTTAGGGTTTCGATGGAAGAGACGAGAGCATTTAGTGCTACAACTCTATCAGTCAACTATTGAACTCAAAATTACACAAAAGAGAATACTTTTCGATCAGATCTAGTGTGGTGAAGTGTCACCTGGCCGAAAGCGACGGAGACGACGTCGAAACCCTCGCCGGAGCTGAGATCGACGTCGAGGGGGAGAGCGGGGGCGACGGCGGCGACGAGATCCTGAGGAGGGAACAGACGGTGGTGAGTGAATGCGATGACGAGAGAACTTGAGAGAGGAGAGATAGATGTTAGAGAGAACTTGAGAGTCGGGGATCGGGACTGAGAAATGAGAGAGAGGAGGAGTCTGGTCGGGATTTGGAAAATACCAGGGGCAAGGTGGGATTTGAAATACGCGTATTTGGGCTTCTAAATTCTCCTCTTCAAAATAACTTGATTTCAAATCTCAGCCCAACTTAGAGCCCAAACAAGAAATTTGGATTTGAAATACCCTGGATTTTAAATCCAGGGCCCAAATCCAAGTTCCCAAACGCAGCTATAGTTAATTTCTCTTGATTACAAAACACCCTCCCGTTTAAAACTCTGTTAAAACCAGCACGTGCGAGGCACGTGTTGCAAAACACACTCCCGTTTATTATCTCTTGACAACAGATGATTGATACCCATCTGTTCTCTCTCTCTTTTCTTTCCCAAACTGTTGCAAAACCCACTCTCCTCTCTCTTCAACTCGAACCCTAGCAACATCCATTGTTGAGTATTTCTAAAGAGAAAGCCAATTGAAAATAATATTGGGGATTCGTCCTATCGACAACCTGTCAAATGAACTCTCTCACGGAACGTGCCCTCCGGATCTTGTGTTGAAAGAAGGTAAGAAGAAATCACAGCAAATAAAAGAAAACTTTGAAAGGAAAAAATAGAAGAGAGAACACCAAAATTTTAACGAGGTTCGGCAACTTGCCTACGTCCTCGGGAGTCACACAAAAAATTTCCTTTGAATATTAAAAAAGATTACAAAGCTTGCAAGAGATAATTTCAGACTCCTTGAGAACACTCAAAAAGAAACTCTCTTTTATTTCTCAAGGGCAAGATTTTTCTCTAAAAAATCGCCGCTCAAGGAGCTGCAAAAATCGTCGCCAAAAACACTCTGGAGATCGCTCGGAAAACATGCGTTTAAGCGGCGGTCAGGGTTCCTTATTTATAGGGAAACCCTAGGTCAAAACAGATTAGGAATCTGTTTTCCATGAGTTCGCTTGACTGCGAAACTCGCATGTATGACTTATGTTCGCCTAAACATAGTCAAGCTCGCTTGAACTGCTTCGTCTGCACTTGGAGCTAGTCTGAACCCCCAAAGCTCGCCTGATCTTCCAAGTTCGCCTAAATTTCCAAAGCTCGCCTGATTTGCAGGTTCGCCTGAACTCAGCTTCGAGCTTCGCCTGAACTTCCAAGTTCGTCTGAACTATTAAGTTCGCCTGATTTTTTAACTTAGAGAAATCTTTGCATGCTTATTCTAAGATTTGGGTTTACACCCGAAACCAACAATCTCCCACTTGGAGACCAAACCTCTATCAAAAAACTCTCTTCAACTTAGCAAGCACCTTCTCCTACCGAGAGAATCTCTTTCTTCAATTTAATATCTTTCTCATAGTGTGGCTCCGCCCTCATCTCCTACGCATGAAGGCCAACTGAAGTTGTACACAACTTTAGTTTCTGAATGGTCACTGCTTTTGTCAACATATCTGCAGGATTTTGGCTCCCCAAAATCTTCTCTAATAGTAACTTCTCATCCTCTATCAGCGAGCATATGAAATGATAATGTACGTCGATGTGCTTCTTTCTGGTATGATATACTATGTTCTTGACAAGGTGTATAGCACTCTGGGTATCACAATAAAGAACTCCGTTCCCCCGCTTTAGACCCAACTCTTCCAGACATCCAGTTAACCAAATCATCTTATTGCTAGCTTCAGTTACTATGACATACTTTGTCTCAGACGTGGGTAATGTTACTATCTTCTGCAAATGTGAGACCCAGCTCACTGCTGTCGACCCTAAGGTATAAACATACCCCGTGGTGCTCTGCCTCGTAGATCACTGGCGAAATCTGCATCCACGTATCCTTGTAGTACAAACTTCTTTCTCTCAAAACATCAATGACATATCCGTAGTCCCTCTCAAATAGCGCAATATCCACTTCACGGTCTCCCAATGCTGTTTTCCGGGGTTGCTTGCAAACCTGATTATAACTCCCACTGCATGGGCGATATCCGACCTCGTACAAACCATTGCGTACATTAGACTATTAATGGCTGATGAATATGACACTCTTCTCATGTGCTCCTTCTTTGTGTCTGTCTTGGGCGATTGCTCCTCAGATAACCTGAACTGACTTCCAATGGGCATGCCAACGGGCTTAGCATTCTCCATGTTGAATATCTGAAGTACCTTCTCGATGTATTCAGCCTGACTCAACTATAACGTCCCTTCGATCACATCTTAATTGATTGGCATCCTAAGAATCTGCTTCGCTGCACCCAGATGCTTCATAGCAAACTCCTTTGCCAATTTCTTCTTTAACTTGTTTATCTCCTATAAACATGATCCTTCAACTAACATGTCATCTACATACAGCAATAACACGATCCTTCAACTAACATGTCATCTACATACAGCAATAACACGATCCTTCAACTAACATGTCATCTACATACAGTAATAACACGATATAGCTGGACTCGAAACTCTTGAAGTAGCAGCAATGATCTGAATTACACCTTTCATAACCATTGCTCTGCATGAAGTTATCGAACTTCTTGTACCATTGTCTTGGAGCCTGTTTCAAACCATACAAGCTCTTCTTGAGCCTACACACCATCTCTTCTTTACCTTCCTCAATGAAGCTAACATGTTACTTCATGTAGATTTTTTTATCCAAGTCACTATGAAGAAAGATAGTCTTCACATCTAACTGCTTAAGGTAGAGATTTTCAGCAGCTATTAAGCTTAACACCACTCTGATGATTGTAATCTTTACAACGAGGAAAAATATGTCCGTATTATCCACTCATTCCCGCTGTTGGAATCCTTTCACAACTAATCTGGCCTTGTATCTCTTGCTTCCATCACTCTCCTGCTTGACCTGGTAAACCCACTTGTTATATAAGGCTTTCTTCTGTGTATGTACCTGGGCTAACTCCCATGTCTCATTCGAGTGGAGAGAATCCATCTCTTCTTTCATCGCATGCTCCTATTGCTGAGATTCACTCACTTGCATAGCCTCCTCATAGCACTCCGGTTCTCTGTTATCTGTCAAAAGTAAATAATCTAGTGATTAGAGATATCTGGGATTCAGTTTGGGTACCCTGGATGACCTCCTAAGCTCCACGCACTGGGTGGTAGTCTCTACATTAGGAGTCTCCTCTGCTCTTCGGTCAGAACTGACACCGTCTCCCCCATTTGGAAGTTCCTCCAAATCTATATACTCGGATGCACCTGCATATTTAGTGCTGCTCCTACTGCTTTGGTTATCCTTTGCATTGTCCCTATCCTTGTACATTACATCTTCATTGAATATGACGTCTCGACTCCTGATGATTTTCCTGTTCTTCTCATCACAAAGATGATATCTGAACTCATTAATGCCATATCCAATGAATCTACACTTCTGCGACTTAGCTTCTAGCTTATCTCTGACATGGTCACTGATATGAACATATGCCACGTAACCAAAGACTCTCAAGTTTGAAAGATTATCCTTCTTGCCACTCCAAACCTTCTCTGGAATCCCAAAATCTAATAAAACTGATGGCCTATGATTAATTAAGTAAGTTGATGTATGCACCGCGTCTGTCCAAAATGTTTTTGGCAGACCTACATGTAAGTACATGCTCCTCGTACACTTTGCAACGTTCTCTTCATTCTCTTTGCATCACTATTCTGTTGCGGTGTTCTTGGAGTAGTCCTCTCTAAACAAATCTCATTCAGAGCATAGAACTTCTTGAACTCCTCCAGCTCGTATTCTCCATCATTGTCTGATCTCAAACACTTTACTTTCAGATTTGTCTCGTTCTCCACCATAAATTTCCACTTCTTGAAGATTCTAAACACCTCTGACTTGTGCTTCATGAAGTATACCCATACATTTCTCCAGTGATCGTTGATAAATATGATGTAGTACGTCGAACCGCTAAGAGAAGACACGCTAGTTGGACCTCATACGTCTATATGAACGAGCTCTAGCTTATGAGCTTTAGGTGGTCTTCCACTCTTCTGCAAGCTGACCCTCTTCTGCTTCCCGTAGATGCAGTTTTCACAAACACCAATTTCAACTAAATTGATGCCGGTTAGCTTTCCTTAAGAGCGTAGGATCTTCATACCCTTCTCGCTCATGTGTCCCAACCTATTGTGCCACAGATCTGCACTCTCCTTGCTCGCTGCAATTGCGAGGGTGTCACTCGCATATGAAGTTAGGTAGAATGTTTCGGTCTTGTTGTCACATGCAACCACTATAGTACCATTGGAGATTTTCCACGAATCCCCAGTAAATATCATAACATAGCCTTCTGCTCCAAGCTGGCTAACCGAAACAAGATTCCTCTTCAGTTTCGATACATGTCTGACGTTCTTCAGATTCCAATTGGAGCCCTTCATCTGTATCTGCACGTCACATTTTCCAACAATACAACAGAGCTCGTTGTCCCTCAAGTACACTTTTCCATAGTCCCCTGCTACATAGTTATGAAGAAGCTTATTATTAGCAATGGTGTGGAATGAGGTTCCCGAATCAATAACCCATGAATCGGAATCACTGTCCATAGTAAGGAACAAGGCATCTTGCACAAGATGAGCTTCCTACTCACTTGCATCATTCTTTGGTGCTTTACAGACTGCAGACATATGATCCTCCTGGCCGCAGTTCCAATATTTCCTTTTAATAGGCCTCACCTTCGAGTTCGACCTCTTCTTCTTTGACTTTAATCGATTCCTATTCTAGTTACCCTTATTTCGGCTTCGGCCTCTCTGCTCGAGATTTAGGGCTGAACCTGAACCCTCTGATTCGTGTGATTTTCTTCTAACCTTCTCGGATAGAATCATACTAACAACCTCATTCAGCTTTAACTTCTCCTTCCCTGCTGAGTTGCTGATTGCGGTCACGCAACATGCCCAACTATCTGGCGACTGCGATAGTATCAAAAGGGCTTGCATTTCGTCATCAAACGTGATGTCAACTGAGATGAGTTGATCAACAATCATGTTGAACTCGCTGATATGCATCGTGAAGGAACATCATTCTGCTATCTTGAGGTTGAAGAGCGTTTTGACGAGATACATCTTGTTTGCAG